TTTTTTATACTTACTTATAGTGGAATGCTTAATTTCCTATTTTCCAATAAGAAAACCAAGGCAAGAAAGTTCGTTAAGGAGATTATCATATTCTCCTAATGGGTTAAAGAAAATTGGGGTAAGAAAAAGGCCATTGGATTTGGCCATTGAGCATGATGGTGACTGCAATAGGCAGCCCCCAAGATGGTTCAGTGAGCCTCACCTCCTGCTATTCAGGTCCCTGGGGAGTCCTCTCAGTCACTGAAACAGGGCTGGTCTCTGTGGGTGGTGGAGTGCTACAGAAGGGACACTGTGTGACTTCTGGGGCTAGGTCACTGAGAGCCGCTGAAGCTTCCGCGTTGATCTCTGGGATCACTCGTTCAGTGGGAAGCCAGCTTCCAAGTGATAAGTCAAGCCGCTGTGCGGACGAGTCCGCGTGGAGAGGAGCGGAGGTCCCCCACCAGTAGCCAGCACCACCTTGCGAGGCCTTTAATGAGCCTCCTTGGAAGCAGATCCTCCAGCCCCATTCAGGTGACAGTAACCCCAGTTGACACTTGAAGAAACCTCACGGAGCAGCTCCGAGCCAGAACTGGCCAGCTGTGGGGAAAGGCAATCTAGCACGTGCAGTCTTTTGACCTCACTCAGTCACATAAGAAGGGGCCTTGGGCCTGCTGTACTTCTTGCCAAGAGATAAATAGCCCTCGCAGCCTGTGCTGGGCTTATCTCCTTGTGTGGGAATATCTTCCCTCGTTTCATGCTTGGTGTGTACTCCTTTGTTCTGTGTAGTGCAAGCATCAAAGGCCCTCAGACAAGCCCCCAGTTTTTGTTCGTGAGGTTGGGGTTGGGTCCTTGCACTGCAGCACAAAGTGGGGTGCGTGTGGCTGTAATACCTGCACTGGGGTTGGAGTGGATCTGCAGGTCATGGGGCATCCAGGTGTTGCAAGGGGCTGGATCTTGTGCGTAATTTTCCTCCCCTTGCTGTAAATAAATGCTGTATCACTTGAGCCTGGTGTGCATGTTATCTATTCTCAGTGACCTTGAATCATGCACTGGTCTCTTCTCTGGGTGGCACTTATCTGCCTTATAACCTTGGCTGCAGAGCCAAGTAAACTATAAAACACGAACCAAGCCAAAACCAGTCTGAATTCCTGACCCACAGAATTGGTGAGAGATAATAAACATTTATTGTTATTTTAAGCCACTAAGTTTGGAGTCATTTGTTTCATAGCAGGAGATAACTAAGTGACCCTGGAGAGAACTGTTTCTTTACGATGGTAAAAGATCTCAGGTCACAAGAAATGAATGAGCAAGCGGGTGCTGAGAAGGGGAAGGCATGAGGCAGAGACCACTCCTTTGAGACGATCTGCTTGTGAGAAGAAGCAGTCCCAGTCATCTTCCATCCATTAGGACTTCATCCTATGAATCGTCCTCTCTCTTCTCAGCCCTTCAATGGCTTCTTTCTCTGTGTCAGTAAACATACCCGAGGTGTTCCTATTTGATAAGCAACTTTCCTTGTGATCAGAAATTTGGGCAAACATTTATATGCTAATATATCATTATGTAACATAATAAAATAACCTAAATGTCTAATAACAAGAGAATGGTAAAATGAATTATGACACATTTATATGATATATTATTAGGTTATTAAAATAATGTTTTGAAAGTATTTTCAATGAATCAAGGAACTGCTTATGTTATAACATTAGATGAAAAAGGAAGAATATTAAGATAAATAGTATGATGCCAATTGTATTGTGCTACACAGCCCTTCACTTGAAAGGTATTCCTTTATATATACATCCTTTAATAATTCTTTAGAACATACATCATTGAATAATGGCCCCAAGTCCTCTACTGAAATTTTGGTCAGTGCAAATGTATTTCTATTCTCCTTACTAAGGATTGCCATCTGGCTGAAATTTATCAATGTCTCTTATAGTTCTAGCTTCATAATATTTTTTCCCCTCCGATATGTGAATTTGTTTCTCTGGGAAAAATATTACAAAAATACAAAAAATCAAATTGCATTTCATTAAATATTTAACAAAACGTATAAAAAACTTGGACTATGCTTGCAAAAATCTGAAACAGATACTCCCAGTAGGGTCATAGCACATTTTCATTTAATAATTGCTCACTTAACAAATATTTTGCAAGCACTACTTATGCCCTTGCCAGATGGCGAGGACATCGAGATGGATGAGACACTGTGCCTGATCTCAGCGAGCCAATGGCCTACTAGAGGAGCCTAATGATGGTCTGGGAGGAAGCCCAAGCAGAGGCATGGCTGCTGTCCTCTCCGTCTAGCTTACTAATGTGTTGAAAGACCATGTTGTCGCTACTCTTCCCTGTGATTCTTGATAATAGCTTTTGGCCAAAGGCGATGCAATTCTGATCCTGTGACACTCTAGTTGATGCCTCCTAATTCCACTACCTTATTGTTTAATTATCTAGAGGAGCAGAGGAAACCAGGGTTTCCACCAGACTCTGAAAGCCGTTTGCCTGAAAAATGGCATCTACGCCTCCAGGACTCGCACAAGAATCGATTTGAATGAAGCCATCACTCAGCCCATCTATGACCAGATTGACCCTGTTTTTGGAGGCATTTTTAGGTAAAGGATCTTTTCATCTTGCTCTTTCGTGAATAAACATCTGAAGAGCGTTGGGCCAGAGTTTCATCTTTAAGAATTTATACTTTGGATCTGGAAGTGTAAAGAGTAGCTTGCAGCTTGAGGAGGAAAGCTTACTCTCTGGCAAAACACAAAAGAAAAGACTTCTTGCTTTGGTTTACATAAAAATTTCCCAGGGTGACCTGGAGTGCAGTTGTTGTTGCTTTCAGACTAATATTATGATTCCCATTATTTTTCAAATATCATACATGCAGCAAAAGATAAATTTTGTTGTGGATCTGAGCCCAGGACAGGGTATTTTGGTTGGAGAGTGTGGAGTTAAGCAAACATATGGCCTTCATAAGTTTTCCTGAATTCAAAAATGAAAAGTGGCTTGCTGAGGACTCTGCTTGTTTTTGACATGCTGAGGACTCTGTGCTTGTTTTTGACATGCTACATGCTCACAAACGTGGCACGGGTGGGGGCGGATATACCTTCATGGCACCTGCTCCTTCTGTTTTTCCTTGACCTTCAATCCTTTCTCCATCAACAAAACACAGTCTCCTAATGTCTCAGCCTGTCCCCAGTCTCCCTTCCTTCTCCTCTGGCATTTCACCTGGTCCACCACCCGCTGCTGCTTGAACCATTCTACCTTTGCTTGATTCTTACTCAGTGCTCCCCTTCCCCACCCCCAACACCCTTTAAACCCTTTCAGGATCATGCCATTCCACCTATGCCCACCACACCCCACCCACTGTTTACAAGTCTGTACACTCCAAATGCCTTAGAATACCATTCAAGACATTCTAGCTGCCTCCAGCTGGCCTTTCTGCTCTCTCCCTGAGCTGTGGCCCGTGTCCTCCCTCTGCTTTAGCCAGTCTGGAGGGGGGCAAAGAGCAACTGAGATGGACCAGTAACTGTGCTGAGTGCTTTCTGTGTACATCTCATTGCATCCTTCCAAGAATCCTCTGCAGTGCTTCTGTCGAGTGATGAAACTGATTCAGAGGAATCATACAGCTTTCCCAATGTCACCCAGCTCATATGTAAAGAGCTAGCATTTCAAGCTGACACCCTCTCCTCTACAAGGTGCTACTTCTCCATCCTGGGACATTCTGAAACTTCATTCACTATGTTGTCCCAGTGGGGAATAACTCCTTTTCACTTCCCTAAATCTTACCCATCTTTTAAGGTGTAGTTTAAGTCACACCCTTTCAAGGGGAAACACCCCAGCAGAGGAAAGGCTGAGTTATGAGGTAAAACAGATCAGTGCTCAAAGCCTGGCTCTGCCACTTACTAGCTGTGTGGCCTTGAACACATCAGCAAACTCTCTAAACCTCAGTTTTCTTTTCTGTAAAATGGTCATCATTGCACTGTTTTCATAGGTTTTTATGTCAAAGGCTGGCACAACACAGTGCCTGGCACATTATAGGAATGTGATAACTGGTAGACCTCACCCCACTTTTCTTTAAAATGATAAAAGGATGCCAGCTGGTTCTCTCTTTGTTTTAGCCTCACAGTAGCCACCTTCATGTCTTAACATTTTACATTGCTGTCTTCTGTAGGGCTGGAACACCCAGCAGTTCAGCTTTGATGCCTCACATAGATGCTTTTAAGCACTCTCTGCAGGAGAAAATGACAGAAATTGGGATAAGAAATGGCTGGAAATTGGATAGCTGCAAAAAAAGTTTCCTGATCCAGGAGGTAAGATCTTCATATCACAAAAAGGGTAGTGAGGTTGAGCAGGAGCTTTCTTCCCAACGGGAAGTTGGTCACTGCCTTCTCTCCCTGTGTGTCCCCCGCAGTGTCCAGGGTCTGGCTGTGTCTCCCAGCAGCCGCTGTGAAATGCACGACCTAGTGGGATGGGGGTAGGAGTGGCCCTGAGGTATTGGCCACCCTGGCCAGCTCTGACCCACTGTTCAACTGCAAATGATAGTAAATGCTGAGCTTTCAAGTAGACTTAGTTCCCAGGAAGAATCTTCAAAGAATTCTCAGATATACAAAAATTTAAATCCACTTGTAATTTTTTTCATTAACCTCTCTCTCATTTTTGCCAATGTTATTAAGTATTATTCAAAGCAGTGAGGCTGAAAGAAATATCTTTTTTTTTTTTGCAGATAAGTTTGCAGTTTTGAATATTCAAGACTCTTATCTGTGATTCATTTTCTTTTAGGCTGTCTTAGTCCATTTGGGCTGCTATCATACAATACCATAAACTGGGTGGCTTATAAACAAAGGAAATTTACTTCTCACGGTTCTGGAGGCTGGAAGTACAAGATCAAGGTGTAGGCAGAACCAGTTCCTGGTTCATAGACAGCTGTCTTTTTACTATAACCTTCCATGGCAGAGGAAGCTATGGAACTCTCTAGGGCCTCTTCTATATGGAGAATAACCCCAATCATAAGAGCCCCCTCCTCAAAACTTGTCACCACCCAGCCCCACCTCTGAGAGCCATCACATTAGGGTTAGGATTTCAGCATATAAATTTTTTTTGGCGGGGGGTGAAGATGCGAGGAACACAAATATTCAATCCAGAGCACAGGCCCAGCCCAAATCACATGGCAACACCGCAGAAATAGCCTGTGCCTCCCCTTGCCCTCCCTCAAAGAGAGCCTGTTCCATCAACTTGCACGGGCCTCAGTTCAACTTAGCAAATATTTAACAAGTTGTTTGTAGATGCCAGACACTGTGGCAAGCACTTTGGGACATAAATTTCTGCCTGTAAAAAGCTCACAGCCTAGTTGTGGCGACATGTGAACAGCCAACCTTAACATAAGGCCGAGGGAAATGGCGACCACACAGGGCTTCTGTTGAGGAAATCGTTACAAACGGTCTTTTGAAAATTCGGATTCTTAGATAAGCACCATCCTGGGAGGCCTGGAGGGATACATCCTCAGAAAGAAGAGGAGGATCTATGAGTCCCTTACTGCCTCTGTTCAGAACGACCTGAAGCCCTGTTACGAAGGTGGGGGCTCCAGGGGCAATGCTTCTGCTTCCTCTGAGGTCTTCCTGCCAGCTCCTTTAGCATCCTCTCTGGCTGCTTCTCCCTCAAAAGATTTGTCCTCCTGCATCCTGGTCCCTGTAACACTCCTGGTCTATATATTAAAATCGAATAATTGCAAGGGTGTGGGGAGAGGTAATTCAGAAACCATTTTTACCTGTGCGTTTCTAGTTCCTTCTCTCTACTCTTTATCTAGATACCTTGCTTCTCCTCCCTGTGCTGCATCTCAGCTAATTAAACTGTGAAATCCATTATTCAATTCTCATTCTTATTTTTTAAAAAGTGTTTGTAAACTCACTTTCCAGCTTCTTTTCATTTTGGTGGTCCTGTTATTGTTTGCTGAGTGTGTGCGAGGGGGGTGGAATTTTGTAAGCTTCTGCTTTATCCACTCATTAGATTTTCTAAATGATAGTTATGTAAATATTGAGAATGCTAATTTTTTTATACCCTATTATTATTAAACAATTTCCACTGTGTGGAAATTGGTGCTATATATAACTACATATATGTATATATAGATAGATATAGAGATATAGATAGAGATATATAGATATATAGTTCGTTCGTTTGTCTTTCTTTCTGATGCTAAAGATTTCTAAGCAAGTCCTTGCTGGACTGTGACTGTGGCTATCATTTTGCCAGAGGCAGCTCAGATCACTGGCAAAAAAGCATGTGAGAGGATGAAAGATGTCATCAGAAGAGGGGTGGACCGGCAGGTGGCCGAGGGCATGTTTGAAAGGGCTCAAGAAAGGATGCAGCACCAGTTTCAACAACTGAAGGTATTCCACATCTGCGGTCTACATCCCAGCCCCTAAAAGGCTCCCGGGGAGGGGGTGGGGGTAGAGGAAGCAGGCACAGAAGATGCAAGTGGTAGTAGCAGTTTGGGCCCAAATACAACCAGATGCCTTCTGCCAAGTGGACCCAACCAATGGCCATGGTGCAGGGAGAGGAGGCCAGCTGGCGGTTGGCATTCTCCCTTCCAGCCAGTACTTGCTGGAGTCAGCCTCCCCTCCGAGGCTGTGACTTCAGAAATGCAGCCCCTCCAGCCCTTTCCTGCGTCTTTCTTCTTTAATAAGTCGTCAGTAGAACAACTGTGATATCTAGGTGGGATCCTAAGATCTTTACATTCCTTAGCTCATTTCGTCTCCAGCAAATCTGTCAGGTAAATGCCGTCAGCCCTCTACAGCCACAGGTTTCACATTCTCAGATTCAACCATCTCAGGTCAAAAGTATTTGGAAAAAACAAATCCCAGAAATTTCCAAAAAGCAAAACTTGAATTTGTCGTATACCAAACACTACACTGAATCCACATGAAAGTGATGTGTAGGCATAGCCTGCTGTAGCCTATATGTAAATATAGGTTATATGCAAATACTATGTTTTATATACGGGGCATGAGCATCCTCAGATTTAGGTATCAGTGGGGGGTCCTGGATCCAATCCCCCTCAGATACCGAGGTAGGACTATACTATTATTCTTCTCATTTTACGGATAAGGAAATGAAAGCAGAGAGAGTTTTAGCAATAGGCCACACAGCTAGTAAGTCACAGAGCTAGGATTTGGGACCAGGTAATCTGACCCCAGTGTCTCCAACAATAACATAATCTCTAGATGGATTTTTTAATGAGATAAATGTCTACATAAAATATCAATAAATAAATGCCAACAAAAAACTATTATAGGTCAGTCAGTTACAGCACCTAGCACAGATTTAGGCTTGATTCTGTCTCGGAAGATAGTTCCTCACAGATTTCTTGAACCTTATTGCTTCTGTCAAGTATACTTGGGCCATCTTATCTCAGCTTTGGGTCTCTTAGCCTGCCACCCCCACCCCAGTAACAAAAATCTTTGTTTTAGCCTTTTAGCCTAAGACATGTTGGCCCCTCCTTGGCCATCTGAGTTTCCAAATTCTTCAACCTCAGTCCAGGCTTAGCTGACCCTTTGAGGAACCCTCTGGCTGGTTGCTATTTGGGTTCAGCTCTGAACCAACCTACTTCCTGAACCATCTCCAACCTGCTTCTGCTCAATCTCCTCCCCCCACCACCCACACCTCATTGCAGTTTTAGAAAATACCTTTCTCTACAACAACAAAAAAGCATGTAATTTCTCTTGGAATAGGCGAAGAGACATATTGTAGCAGCCGCAGTTTACTTTCTGTCACTTAACATATTATTACAATCTGCAAATATGTGCAGAAAATTGGCCAAACTCTACAGCACCCAGTCCCCATTGGGTATGTAGAAATTGGCTCCTAAGGTGACCAAAGAAACTAATCCACTAAAAAAAAAAAAAAAAAAGCTTAGTACATTGACCATGTACAAATGTATCTTTAATTGCAAACGTAGGAAGTGGAAATTAAACAAGACCACAGGACGTTCTCATTCTCTGATCTTATGAACAAGAAAGCTGATGCCCAGAGAGAGGGGCTAAGTGACTAGCTCAGAGCTCAGAGCTAGAGAGCTGAGACTGGAGCTTAGGGTTTTTGGCCTGATGTGTTGAAGAATAAAAGCATCAGACTTGGAGTCAGGAGATCCAGGTTCAAAGCTAGGCTCTCTCAGGCTAGGTGAACGTATCGAGCATTTTTCAAAGGCAGGCAAGAGACAGTTAGAAGAGGGTAAATGGTTTTAGGTGATAGGACTGAGAGCAGCACGAAGACATTTGTTAGGCAGTTGGGGAGAAGAATCAGGTAAGTCAAGTGTGGAATGTTGCACAAAGCAGGTACTCAACAAACATGTATCCAGTGACTAAATGCATGATGGGACGGTGGGCTAGTGACCAGCACTGTCCTATTTCCATCGCTGTGGCAGCTGTGCTCTCCCCTAGGATCCATGCATCCTCATTAGCTCCTGACTTAGTTGGTCAGCACTAGAGGGACAACCCCCAATGAGTCCTGGTAGGAAGGAAAGGCGATGCTTTGACAGGTGGGACCCCACAGAAACGTTCCCCTGACGACTCCTGAGTCATTCTGTGTACTCCAAAGTGGCCCACCTGGGACCTGACTTTGATTTTGGCAACCCCAGTCTGTGCACTTTGATTCCGGAATTGCGTGGGGTCCCTTTCCTAAGGTTCCCTGCCCCGTGGGCTGTGTCCTCCTAACAGAATGATGACCCTTTTTTGTGCAGAATGGAATCACAGAGAAGGTGAAGGGCAGTATCGCCACCATGCTGACCCTGGCGTCATCCCAGGGGGATGCTCTCTACAAGGAGCTTGCAGGTAAATACAAAAAAACCTTTGCATAATGGGTGCTTATGCTGTGGCCGCTCTTTACCACATTTAAGGGATTTAAGTTAGGAAGAATTTCCGGGGGAAAGACTGGAGATGATGATGAGGATTATGACTGCTGCACCCTTGACCAAGCACTGGGCTAAGACCAAGCATTGCTCTCGGGCTCTCTGCACAACATCCCATCGAATGCTCACATTAGCCGTCAGAGGTAGATGTGATCACTCCATTTTGCAGACACAGAAACAGAGACTCAGACGAGATGATGTGTCCAGGAATCCATAGCTGGAAAGTGACAAATTCCCTATCTCCATAAACCTGTTCTTTTAAGTTGATACCTTCTCATGAAAAGCCTCATTTCCTGGAGGTAATGGAGAAGGGTTTCTCTTCCTCCACCGGGAGCCTGTGGAGACAATACCAGCTTCGTGTGCCCCACTGCAGGCGGCCATCTCCCTTTCGTGCTGTGGACTCTACCAGGCACTGTGTACACTGGAGAGTATAAACTGGTGTGAAAAGCAAATGGGCAATTTCTAGCAAAATTAAAAATGCACCTATACTTTGGCCCATCAATCCTACTTCTAGGAATTTATCCTATGGTGTCCTCGTCCATGAGTGGAATGGCACGTGGGCAGGGTTATTCAGGACAGCATCGCTTATGATATCAAATATTGGAACAACTCGAATATCTAGCGATAGAGCACTGATTAAGTTAACTTAGGTACACAGCTAGTGAAGGACCATAATTGTTAAAAAGAATAAAGCATCTTTATATATAGTAGCAGCATGGAACAATCTCCAAAATATGTTGTGAAGTGGAAAAAAACAAAGTGAAAAAATGTGTAGTCTGTTGCCATTTGTGAGAGAAAAAAGGGAAATACATATGTATAAAGATCTCTGTGGGATACACAAGAAACTGGTCATACTGGTTGCCTCTAACGAGAGGAACTGGGAGGCTGAGGGACAGGGAGGGCCGGAGATTTGCTTTGTACTCTACGTGTTGTGCCTTTAAAATTTTAAACCACGTGCATAGTTGCCTGCTGGAAAAAAAGGAGGTCCGATGCCATTGCTGTATGTCACCGAGTGTGTGGGAGTGCAAGTGGTCAGAGCTACTTCCAAAGTAAAAGCCACAACTGCCACTTCTCAACATCTGTCCTGCACTTACCTGTCCCCCCTCGGCTGGTTACGTGGACACACGACCTCTTCCTAATGCTGTCCTGGGAAGGGGCTATGACACCTCCTCACTGTAATTCGTTGGACTCGCTCATGACCTTCCATCTCAGCCTTCACAGGAACCTGTTTTAAGATTCTGGTCTCCCACTGTGTCTTCTCTAAAGAACCCCTACTTGCCTAAGGTCTTCCAACTGTCCGTGTCTCACACACAGAAAATGTTCCCTTGAGTTGGACATAAATTGCTCCTGCCATAATTTAAGACCATTTCCTTTTCTTCACCATCAACAGCAAATATACACTATGTAGGGGGCACTGTGCCAGGTGCCACAGAAATCTAAAGCGGTCTCTGCTTGGCACATTACCTGGTTGGTAAGATAAGATGTGTGAGAATGTAAACCACAGCAGTGGATAGTATGCATTCGCTTCACAAGTAATGATAAGCTCCTCCTATGTGCCGGGCAGTGTTCTAGGTGCTACGGATACAGCAGTGACCAGTACAGACAAAAATCTCTGCTTATGGAGCTTGGAGCCCAGGCAGCAGAAGGCAGGCAATAATAAAATACGAGGCATGCCAAAGGCTAATAAATACTACGGAGGAAAATAAAGCAAGGAATGGGAGAGAGAGGCCTGGGCGTAAGGGCAGAGAATTCTGGGAGGGTCTCACTGGGAACGTGACAGTCCACTAGAGAATTCCCTCTTGCTCGGGGGAGGCCAGCCCTTTGTTCTAGTCAGGCCTTTAAATGATTAGATGAAGGGGGGCAATCTGCTTGACTCAAGCTCTACTTATTTAAATGTAAATCTCATCAGAAAACACACTCACAGAAGCATCCGGAATAATGTTTGATCACATATCTGGTCACCAGAGCCTAGACAAGTTAACACATAATATTAACCATCGCGAAGATATAATTGGATTGCAGATCGTGGGAGAAGAACTTGAAATGCCGTAATAGAGCAAATTCGCTTAGAATGGGGACTGCTGGGAGAGGGATCAGGGGAATGAGAGAGATTCCTAGAGAGGACTTAGGGGAGGTTTATTGTGTAGTATGCTTTGTATCTCCTTCCACTGAGCTCTCGTGGGGCCCTAATAAAGACCCAGTGAGGGCCCAAACCTTCTTATTGGTAGGTTTGTGTTTTTTTTGAGGGTGACCTCTATGCTGAGATAGGCCTTAAGGTAGAAGCAAGAATGCTGGGTGTGATCAGGTTATTTATAAAACAAATCAATTGGATAATCTGATCTCTAAGCCCCATTCCAGATTTCATATTCTGGGACAAGTGGCCCAGTCACAATACAGTTCTCAGGGGATTTGTTTTCTTGGGACATTTCTGAAAAAAGATTCTAACTCCCGGTGCATGCTTTCTGCTCCTCCGTAGACGTCAAAAGTGAATACAAGGAGATGGAAAAGCTACACAGAAGCCTGAGGGAGGTTGCTGAGAATGCAGTGCTACGGCGGGGCATGCAAGACTTCCTCCTGAGAATGTCCCCCAGCAAAGCTGGACCCCCCAAAACATAAATTAATTCTTGGGGCTTTAGTATCAAGTGGATGAGAAAAAAGCCTGGGGCCAAATAATTAGAATTACTCCTGTAATAAAGAACATCTCCCAATCGTGCTTTCTATACAACATAAAACTCAATCGATCGTTACTTCTGGCATAAGCGGATTACTGAAGAACATCATTTCATTTTTATTCTATAGCCAAAAGGAGTCATCTTTTTTATAGGGTTCTAAAGCTTTAGGGACAAGAAACATGTGCTTCGCCAAGGAAAAATATCTAAACATAAAAAACTTAAAAGTTATGGGAAAAAACAATTGCACAATAAAGCTTCAGGGAACCAATTCTAGTTCCCCATTTTAATACTGACGAGACTTTTGAGGAAGGAGGCAACTCTGTGCTATGGGAACAACATGGGTTTGAGCCAGCCAGCCAGACCCGGCTTTATTACTTCTCAGGGGCGCTAATGAAGATGGGTGCTTCTCTAACGTTTTGATCTCAGGACCATATGCTCTTAAAAATTATTAAAGAGTTTTTGTTTATGTGGGTTATACCTACTGATATTTACTGTATTCAAAATTAAAACTGAGAAAAATTATAAATGATTACTTACAATTCATTTAAAAGTAACAATAATAAACCCATTACATGTGAATATAAATAACATTCTAGAGACACCACTAGAAACACAAAAGAGAGATAAATCTAATTAGCCACTAAAGGAGATAAAATAGAATATTAAGAATACTCGAATAATCCTAAACAGGAAGGAAAAGAAGAAAAAGAACAAATAACAAGGTAAAATTGAAAACAAATTGCTAAATGGTAGATCTAAACCCAATCTTATAATCACATTAGCAAATTGTGAAACATAATTAAAAGGTGGAAATAATCAGATTAGATTTTTAAAAATTAAGACCTGACTATACATTGTCTATAAGGAACCCACATTATTTTTTAAATATTAATAATCACTGATGTTTATTGAGCAGTTACTATATGCCATACATGTGCAAAGCAAATGTATACATACAAATTATACTTGTTGCACTTGGCATGAATTATCTCCTTCAACTCTTGTTAAACCCTAAAAGAAGATGCTTTCTAAGGACACAAATTATATGAAAACTATCTTTTTTTTGCTTCAAAAAGTTTTTTTCAGTTACAGTTGACAGGACAAGTAGAGAAACTCAGAAAAGATATTGAAGACTTGACCAACATGTCAACCAACTTTATAAACTGGTATTTATAGAACACTGTACTCAATAGCATCAGAGTATAAATTCATTTCAAGTGTACTTGGAACATTTACCAAGACAGACCATAGCTTGAGCCACAAACAAGTCTTAATAAATTTAAAAGTATTGAAATCATACAGAGTCTATTCTCTGACCACAATGAAATTAAATTAGAAATCAGTAACAGAAAGAAATCTGGAAAGAAATCTGGAAAATCTCCAAATATTTGAAAAGTAAACAATATGCTTCTAAATAACCCATAGGCCAAAAGGAGGCTGTAGACTAACATCTTGTTGTGTTTATAGCTCTCTCCTCTAAATCTTAGTTTTACCCAAATGAAATTACCTCGTTGCTATCAGGAGCCATGGTGTTAACTCCAGCCAAAGCTTAAAATGTTAGGGCTGGTGCTGGCTCTGGCACAGGCTGTTCGTTAACTGCCTGAAGAACATAACTGAGAGCCGCCTGCCGGGAGGGCACCTATGCTGGCAGAGCAGAACAAGGGGGAAGAAGCAGCGGCAGAGAGTTAAGTTCTGGTGGGAGAGGTCAGGCAGATAATAATGTGGATCCAGGAGAGAAGGTCAGAACTCATGCCAGAAAGAAAGAAAAAGCTTAAATACCAAAGGTAGAATCAAAATGCAGGAGATTCAGGAGCAAGAGCTGTGGTTCAGGAGGTTAATATGGGGAGCAAGAGTCTTTTGTTGTGTTTCTTAGTCCAGCTCCCCGGCTCTGTCATGGATACTAAATCATGGCAGATCCATCTTCCCAGGAAAGGGGAGACTGGCTAGAGTTAGGCAAGATGCTACTGCCGGAGACGGTAAGACTAGGGTTCAGGGCAGGCCCGGATTCTAGAGCAGGTATGCTGCTCAGAAGAGCAGGTATGCTGCTTAGCAGACTGTGAGGTGGGCAGGGAAAACAATATTGTATTTTTTGGAAACAAATTTTAAAGGCCTGTACAGTATTCTAATGTATATACGTACTATCATTTATTTTACCATTATCCTGTTAGACATTTTGATGGTGCTGGTTTTCTCCATTATAAATAACATCATAGAAAATATTCTTATATAGACATTTCTATCCCTGTCTCTGATTTCTTTTTGGGATAAAATTTTAAGAATTCATTCATTATAGGATTTGAGTATAAGAGTATTTTAAAGTCTCAAATTGTTTTCTAGAAACCCTGTTTACTCACTAGCAGGAAGGAGAATTCCTATGACACTGTTGGTTTTTTCGTTTGTTTGTTCGCTTGTTTTTTAACCCAAACTGGCTATTATCCTTCTCTGCAATGGAATGATGGGATCAGATTTTTGACATTACTGTCTTGTATTGCTCAGGTTTTACTGATGCTGAAATATTTTTTGTGTTGATTTGAATTTCTTCTATTTGAATTGTCCTTTCATATCTTTTCTTTGGGAGTTCCCCATCACTTTATGATGTTTTTCTTTTTACTTTGAAAGAATTTCGAACCTACAGGAAGGTTGCAGTCATAGCACAAATTGCTCCTAGAGACCCTTTATCAACTTGCTAAAACTTTTTTTGACACTTGTCTTTTCATTCTTCATGTGTGCATGTGGATATGTGCTTGCGTGTACTTTTTCTGAATTATTTCAAAGTAGTTTGCATATGCTATGTCTTTATGCCTTAATCTTTTACTGTGTTCCCTAAAAACAAGTATATTCTCTCACATTACCCCAGGACAATGCTGAAATTCAGGAAATTCAACATCAGTACAATACTACCCTCTCAGCCACAGTCTACGTTCAAATTTCATTGATTGCCCAGTTCTGGCCTGTAGAGCAGCCTGTCTCAGTACAGCATCTACCTAAAGATCATGTACTCTATCTAGTTGTCACATCTGTTTGCTTCTTTTAATTGCAGACATTTTTGAGAAATATAGGCCAGCTGTTTTATAAAATTTGGGTTTGTCTAACGTCTTTTCACAATTAGGTTTAAAACATACACCTTTGGCATAGAACGACCACATAAACCCTTCATTCTTTTTAGTGGAAAATGTCACCATTTACTGCTGACAGCTTGACAATGACGAAGGAGACTAGGAGCTAAAAATGGATATAGTCTAACTTGGGTGTGGAAGCAGGTCCCTTACTCTCTGTCTTGTAGGGTGATCCTCACTAGCCTACGGGGGTGAGTGTCGAGGGAGGGATGTGGAAGAGAATGGGAATAAGCCTCCCGGTCTCTTAGGCCTAGAATGTCACCTGCCCAAGGCTGCCAGTGACCAGGTAAGGCACTGTCAAAGATACTTTTACACCGTGGTGGAGAAGGGGAGAGAAGGCAGTTGTCTCTTAGCTCTATTTCGGCCTGTGGGGATCAGGGAGCACTTTGATAGCTTCTTTTCTCAATCTTCCTCTGCTCCTCCACACTGACTGACCGAAGGGCCAGAAGGAGCTCTCAGAGCACAGCGGTGGGAGGACAAAAGGCGTGGTCTCTGCCACTAGGGAGCCGGGCGTGCCCAGCTGGGACCTCCAGAGGCTCCCTCTTTCCTGACCTCCCTCTGTCTCTCCTTACATCCATTCTCAAACAGCCCCGCTTCAGGCCCCTTGCATCCTCCTTTGGGAACTCTGCCTGTTTTTCACCTTTTGGCTGGAAAGTAATGGAGACACTTCTCTGCCAGGTTTGTCAACTTGAAAGTGGGGAAGAACAGACCCCAATTCCATAGCTGAAGGCTCTGCATCAGCAGGAGCCGTGGCCTTGCAAACTGAGCGAGCACATTGCTCCAAAGCAGTGATTGTGATTATGATTATGATTATGATTATGATTATGATTATGATTATGATTATGATTATGATTATGATTATGATTATGATTATGATTATGATTATGATTATGATTATGATTATGATTATGATTATGATTATGATTATGATTATGATTATGATTATGATTATGATTATGATTATGATTATGATTATGATTATGATTATGATTATGATTATGATTATGATTATGATTATGATTATGATTATGATTATGATTATGATTATGATTATGATTATGATTATGATTATGATTATGATTATGATTATGATTATGATTATGATTATGATTATGATTATGATTATGATTATGATTATGATTATGATTATGATTATGATTATGATTATGATTATGATTATGATTATGATTATGATTATGATTATGATTATGATTATGATTATGATTATGATTATGATTATGATTATGATTATGATTATGATTATGATTATGATTATGATTATGATTATGATTATGATTATGATTATGATTATGATTATGATTATGATTATGATTATGATTATGATTATGATTATGATTATGATTATGATTATGATTATGATTATGATTATGATTATGATTATGATTATGATTATGATTATGATTATGATTATGATTATGATTATGATTATGATTATGATTATGATTATGATTATGATTATGATTATGATTATGATTATGATTATGATTATGATTATGATTATGATTATGATTATGATTATGATTATGATTATGATTATGATTATGATTATGATTATGATTATGATTATGATTATGATTATGATTATGATTATGATTATGATTATGATTATGATTATGATTATGATTACTTTAGAACTTATCCATATGAAGAGAGCTTACTCTTGGACTCTGTTTCTTGGCACGATTGTGCTAAGTCACCTCTCCGCTATGCTGTTCCAGGCGGATGTCACTAAAGCCACCCCTTGAACTGAGGAAGGCTGTTAGATCCATCTCAGCCGGATGGTGCCCACAGATTCTTAGAAATCGTTTAGTGCGTTAAACATGCCTACTGAAGCCCAGATAGGGCAGAGCCAACATTAGGTAGCAGTAATTGATGCCAATTAAGGGTTGTATTTAGGCATGTATTTCTTTACATCTTACTGAGACTATTCAATGTTTATTATTTTGATAATGGATGTCTCTCCTGAGGCCGCCTACCTGGAAGGGTAAGCTTCTCCCGATGACTAGATTCTGAAAATGCACCCATTTTAGTCCCCCCTCCCCTGCCCACACAACATCATCCATCCTTTTTCTTTCAGAGTGGAAAAAATTGGGTTATCTTGAAAATAAGAGCACATTTAAAGATCTCCATGATTTCTTCTTGGGTGTGGTGAAGGTCCGTGCTTAGAACTTTCACACGCATGTGCAAGTGACCAGAAAGTTTCGTTTAAAGGTGGTTTTGATGCAGCAGGTCTGGGGTGGGAGCTGGAGATGCTGCCTTTGCAATAGGCTCCCAGCGGTCTATGGACCACTCTTG